GGGGTGGAGTGGGGTGGGGAGCGGCAAACATAAAAATAGTTGGATTTGCAGAGTACCTTGCTCCTATACTGAGGCTCAAAAACTGTAAATCATTATATCCTTTGATATTTCCATGACATTAATATCAGATTCAGATTCCAGAGAGCTAGTTTGGTGTAGTGGTTAAGGTGCTGGTCTAGAAACCAGGAGACCGTGAGTTCTAGGCCTCCCTTAGCCATGAAAGCTGGCTGGGTGACTTTGGGCCAGTCATTTTCTCTCAGCCCAACCTACCTCACAGGGTTGTTGTGGGGAAAATAAGAGGCAGGAGTATTATGTATGTTCACTACCTTGAGTTGACTATATATCTGTATCTATATCTATATTGGAATAAAAATCTAATAATGTTAATTCTGGTAGACCTAAGAGATTTTTATCTCAAAATATTTTGGAAACATGTCACAATACACCACTGAGAATGTATTTATATTTTTAGTAACCGCCTCTTGGAAAAGCCTGCTAGATTACATTGTTAGGATACAGTAATGGTAGAAAAAATAGTGTTTTTGCCTCCACCACAGGGTAGGCTCAATAATTAGCTTTTAGTTTGATTAGACTTGTCATTAAATGTTCTTTACTACATTTTAGCTGTCTCCCAGCCTGCTTCACTGCACTTAGCTTTGGTGTATATAAAAACAGCAGCACTGTGAGTCTGGAAGAAACTGTTAGTTGTCTTAATTACTTCCATATTGCACAAAGCAATTACATTTTTGGTCGGTGTGCCAATCTACAACTCATAAAATTTCCAAGATGTGTTGGAATCTATCTGAGTACGTTCCGGATTTGGACTATTTTTGAACTTACACAGGGAAACAGCCTGTATCTCAGTAAGAGGAGATCTGGAAATGATAAGGGAATCTAGTTACTGAAAAAGTGACTTCATGCAAGATTACAAAGTTTGTTTATGGAATAGCTAAACCTTGAAATGTCCTAGAGTTAACCTTTTTCTGTCGACCTTTTCCATTGGATGTTAATTTATACGGTAGGATAGATACTGTCTCTTGGAAGATAATGGGACATTTCCAGTTGACTTCAATGGCTGTGGAGTGTTCTCTGCTTTTATTTTTTTAAAATCCTGATGAAAAAGTAAAGGATACTTTCTGAAATGCTCAAACAACTATATTTAATGCAGATACTAGGTAAACAAACAGTCATGACTTACTGACATTTTGGCTCTTAGGTACTTTGTGTTGAAGATTTCTGCAGGAATTGAATATCCTGGTGAAATTAGGTGGCCTTTGGCACTGTCTCTCTTTCTAGCTTGGGCAATTGTCTATGCCTCCCTGGCTAAAGGAATAAAAACATCAGGAAAAGTAAGACATTATTTTAGACTATTTCTAGTCTTAACTCAGGAATGAATATATTGCAGTACCAAAGATCTAAGCATTACTGGAATACTTAGTAGCTTTTTGAGAAATGTTATAGCAACTTAGTACCTGTTGGTGTGTATGGTAGCTCAAGAAAAGCTGGTAAAAAATATTTTTCTTTGATATGCATATTGGTTAAATGTTAAGTTCCCATTTTTCATACATGATCTTCTCATGGCATGCCTTATATATTCTGTTGGCTTTCAGGAGGACTAAAGATAGGAAGCTGTATTTTTAGGAGAGATGAGTTTTGTTTAAAATATGATTAAAAATATGGTAAAAATATGCATCCCAGCAACAAAGGTTAGTTATCTTGGAAAATCAGAATGTAATAATGCTATTTTACAGTGGAAGATAATAATCAGAATGTAATAATGCTATTTTACACCTTAAGTATCCCTATGTTATTCTTAGATAAGTGTAAAAATCATAGTCCTGGGCTGTTCACTTTCCTGACAAGATGTTTGTTTCTACCAATTCCTGGTCAAGAACTACTCAACTGAGAATCACACACATAAATAGCCCTGAATTAAGGGTATATCTGCTCCCTGTGCCAGCCTGCTTCACTTTTAGGCTGGAGCAAATAATATATGCTTTCTATCATCAGTATTATTCAATTATTTGTGTCAAGAGGCTTTGTTTAAAAGAATGGGGGAGGGAGGCGGGTGAAATAAATACATATGTATTCCAGGGATGGAGAACCAGTTGCTCTTAGGATGTTTTTAGACTAAATTGCTATCATCTTTGACTATTGGCCATTGTGGCTTGGTTTAATGAATATTAGAATTTAACAACATCTGGAGAACCACCATGAAACCTGTCATACCATCTGCAAGTTTAATTCCTAAAGATGAGTATCTGTTCCCATTTCAGGATCCTGAAAGTTAGTTTTAGTTTATTTAGGTAAGATAGATTTTTGTTTATGCGTGTCTGAAGGCCATCAGGACATGATGAATGTTGTTTCTCTTCTATCAATCTCATCACATTAGCATACTCTGCTTACTTTATCCTTTCTTCCACAGTTCTGCAAATGGTGCCCTATAGTTGGCTGCTGGGTCTACAGAATGTCCCTCACTTCTTAGCAGTCAGCCTTGACTACAGCAGTAGTCTTTCTTTTTGGAGGAAGGACTGGCTAATCATCCAGGAGGGCATGCCTTAGCCAGTCTTAGGGAAACTGCCCTTTTGTAATCATACAGGCAATATCCAAACCCTGAAGACAATGTTGCTTTCATGGTTGCTAACCATAATGATATAACAGAAACTTTAGAGAACATGTTTTATGTGTACCTCTTACCAGTGGGGAAACATTTGCTGGAGTAAAAGCCACATTATAATTTAGCACATATCTAAGAAAGACCTTACGGACTCACTATTTTGCATTAGTTGTTTCTGTTCCAGATAACAGACAACCTCTGCAATTTTCATCCTTTTGGTAGTCATAGAGTAGAAAGGAATGTGTATCTAATATACCAGCATTTAACTGCAAGGATTTTATATTCTCTATAGAGTTATAGAACTACAGTTACTTTTCATATTATTATCCCCAAACATTGCTATTTTATTAATTTAGGGCTTTGCATACATAACACCGTTTTAGCAAACCATTCTATTATTTTTATAAGTTGATTATATTCCCATGAGCGAATATCACTGACAGGTTGTGCAATAATTTACTGTAAACAGTAAGTCAGTGATATTACTTTTATTTTTACCATGGATGTTTTAACTTTTTACATAGACATTTTTTTCTATGTGAGCTGCTGAGAATGACTTAGAATTAGACTGCAGTAGCATAGAAATGTATTAATTTATAAATTCTTAGTTCTTATAAATAAATTCTTATTCTTATAAATAAAGAATTATAAATTCTTATAGGATCATCCAGAATGAATAGATACATTATCTGTTTATGTTTCCTTAGGTGGTATACTTTACTGCTACATTCCCATATGTAGTGCTTATCATCTTACTTATCAGAGGAGTAACCCTGCCAGGAGCTGGGGCTGGAATCTGGTATTTCATCACACCTAAATGGGAAAAACTAATTGATGCTATGGTAAGCTTATTATTCCAGGTATAATACTCTAATGGAACCAAAAACATGTATGGATTTATTTTTGCTTAAGAAAGCATTATGTGATATGAATGTTTACGACAGCTGTATTTATAACACTGTGGTTAATGTTATTGCAGAGCTTAATGGGTTTTGTACCTCCTTCAGGACACTACTTCATTTGCTTAGGGCATAATGTCAGTTCAACATGTGATGAGTACAGCATGGCTGCGAAGATGCCTGATTGTCCTAAGCTATATTTGGTTGTGCATTAGATCCAGAGTGTATGTGGAAAGGTCACTTGGTATAAATCCAATCAAGTGTTCCCGAATTCAACACACACTCACCTATTCTAGGGCTCTAGGTAAATTAGCTAGAAGAGAATTCCACAACTGGGGGAAGAGATGCAGTGAATATATGTTATAGGTATATAGGAAGAAAATTATATCTTCTAGGAGTACAGTTAGCTCTGCTTGTTGTGTACACAAGCTGTTCTCTAATTTGGAATTGCTATTCAGTGTCAACTTGACATTCTAAGTCTATAGTCCTAAAAACTGTCTTAGAATGAACAAGTTACTGTGCTTCAGAATGGAGGTCATTTTACTATAGTACAGTCATGAGTGATGCAGTTTTTGCTACTCTGCTTAATCACAATACTAACTTTTAAATGACAGTAGATGTCCAACTCAAAAGAAGCTATGCAAGCAGGTAGAAACACATAGGAGAAGAGATGGAGATTAGGAACAGGAACATTCCAGATTTTTGATGCCTGAAAGACAAAATTACAGCTTTGAGTTCAGTTTCAGATTATAACCAGTCAGTAGTTCAAACTATACTCTGAAAAGATTATGAATTTTGTAACTTGTTATGTGACTTGATGTAGCTGGCTTACTTTGAACAGCCAAGGGAAAAGTTTTGTAAGCTATAAACCCTAGCCTTTGGCTTCTGTTTATTCCATTCTTAAGGGTTCCTACAGAGTAGCTACAACTGAACCAGTAATCCATTTGAATAATTATGGAATTTATTTATTTATATGATTTATATGGCTGCCCATTTCACAGCAGTGACTCTGGGTGGCATGCAGTGTTAACACCTACAATTAGAACAACAATCCAAATAATAAATGTACAAGGTTGCAACCCCCACCCCCCATTTTAACTCATAATAAGAACAATATAAACCAACAGATGTTAGAAGACATATTGCTATATGGATTTATTTAGATTCAAATAGTGTGTTATCATGAACAAGGTGCATCATCTCTTGTGCATTAATTTTGTGGGACTGAACTAAACCATCACAGATATTTCTGCATGGATTTAAATTATTTGTGTCAGGAAGAACTTTGGGCATGCCCCAGAGAACTTATTCCAGTATCTAGTGGACCAAAGCATCAACCGCTTCATGGATCACTGCCTTGTCGTGGCAAAGGGGCTTGCATAACTCAGTGAAGCCATGAGCTATACCGTGCAGGGCCACCCAAGACGGACAGGTCATGACAGAGAGTTCTGACAAAATGTGGCCCACTGGAGAAGGAAATGGCAACCTATTCCAGTATCCTTGCCAAGAAAACCTGCTGTACAATGTTAAATGGCTAAAAGATATGACGCCGGAAGATGAGCCCCTCAGGTCAGAAGGTGTCCAATATGCTACTGGGGGACAGCGGAGGGCAATTCCAAGTAGCTCCAGAAAGAGTGAAGCGGCTGGGCCATAGAAGGATAATTTGAGCCTGGTCATTTGTGCCTTGAGTGAGAATTCTGGGTTGATTTGTTCAAAGATCGATTTGTTTGTTTTCTTGGCTGTCCACAGTATTCTCAGGAGTCTTCTCCATCACATAAGTTCAAAAGTGTCAATATTCTTCCTGTCCTGCTTTTTAAGAAGCAGAAGTTATCTACCACTTCAGTATCTTCATTGCCTCATCTAAGGCTGGCTGTTGTACCTGTTGCCATTAGTCTTCTTTATGTTTAATTTTACATTTTTTTCCCCACTGTGCTTCTTGACTTTTATTACAAGAGCTTGCAGATCATTTGCATTTTCAGCTGTCAGAGTAGTGTCATCAGCATAGTGCAGGTTATTGATGTTTCTTCCCCTGGTTTTAAAACCACATTCATCTTCTTCCAATCCAGCTTCCCTTAATATATATTCAGCATATTGGTTGAATAAATAAGGGAAGAGTGTACAGTCTTGCCTCACTCATTTGCTGACCTGGAGCCAGTCTGTTTCATCATGTTCTGTTCATACTAAGCACATTCCACAGATTGACATGATTGACACAATCGAAGGCTTTTCTATAATCAATTAAGCACATAGTGACTTCTTTTTGGTATTTTTTTGGCTTTCTCAATTATATTTTTCAGCATGTATCAGCAATAATGTCTCTTGTTCGTTGGCCATTCTAAAACCAGTTTAAACACCTGGCATATCCTTTTCCATGTAAGGCTCTAATTTGTGTTTAATCTTAAGCATTATTTTGCTGGTGTGTGGAATTAAGGATATTGTAATAATATATTACAATTATAATATATTATAATGCATTATAATAATAGTGTACGATAGTTTGCACAATCTGTTAAGTCTCCCTTTTTTGGTGTTAGAATGTAGATTGGCTTCTTCCAATTGGTAGATCAATGTATTGTTCTCCAGTTTTGTGGCATAGCTTAGTTAAAACCTTTACTGATTCTTCTTCTGTCGCTTGCCATATTTCAGTGGGTATTCCATCAGCTCCTGTAGCCTTCCTACTTGGTAATGACCAGAGTGCTAATCTAACTACATCTTCTAGTACTAGAGGTTCTTGTAAGTAGGGAATATGTTCTAAGGTGTCTTGGATGTTGACACCTTAAATCAGATTTGTATGTGAGCCGGAAATAAGTAGTATTGTGTAATTAACTTGAATTTTTCTATAATCATTGTGTATTTAACTCGAAATTTGCTATAATAGGCTCCTTTCTTAACTATGGGTTGTCCTTAAACTAGGCGTTCTTAACTTGGGGACTACCTGTATTTCAGAACACAATTCTTTCCATCTTTGTTTTATTTTCTTTGAATCAGTTACTGTTCATCTGTTAGAGTCTTTTTGCATACCAGTTTGGGGTTGGAACCTCCTTCTGAGTTCAGAGATCTTTTGGAAGACTTTCCTTGTTTTTCCATGTCTGTTTCCATCTTCAATGTCTTTATAGATGTTGTTGTAATACTGCTTCTTGTTTCTTCTAAGAGCTCTCTGAAACTCTTTGTTAAGTTCCTTTCTGAGATTTTTGTCTTTCTTGGCTTTGGCATTTCTTTTTGGCAGTTTCTACAGTTTGTCCCGACATCCAGTTTGATTTCTTCTGTTTCTTCATCTTTAGCATTCTCTTTTCACATTCATTCTTAATGACTTCTTTAAGCTTTTCCACAGTTCCTCTGGTTCTCTATCAAAGAGATCTAGGACTTCAAAGGGTTTCCTGATATTCTCCTTGAAAATGGTGGGTATATGCTCAAGGTCATATTGTGGAAGCTGGTTGGCTTTCTTTTTCTTTAGCTTAACTTGCAACTTGTACATGAGCAGTTTGTGATCTTTTCCACAGTCAGCACCTGGACATGTTTTGATGCTCCTCTACCTTCTTTAAGATATAATTTAGTCAATTTGATTTCTGTGCACTCCATCTGTTGATGTCCATGTACATATTTGTTTGTGGCAAAAGTCCATGCCAATTTGCTGATGCCTAAGATGTCAAGTTTTAGTTGTTTTGTTTCATCTTTCGCTGTGTTGAGCTTTCCTGCGTTCATGCTTCTTATGTTCCATGTTCCCACAGTAATTCTGTCTTCGCAGCTTTGGATTTTCTTTTTGTGTATAGCAACATCAGCAACTAGACATCTCAAAGGCTTTAATCTAGCCACTTCATAAACACCATTAGATCTCCAAAAGATCCTCAGCTCTTCCTCATTAGCATATTGAGTGCCATCCGGCTTGAGAGGCCCATCATCCGGCACTATTTCATCAATCATTTTATATTTTCTAGTCATGTGGTTTTCTTGATAAAAATCTTGGAGTGGCTTACCATTGCCTTTTCCTGCATATTAATTGATGGGTTTACTGTTGTCACCAAAGTGATCATCTGCTCCAGTGTCTTCCTGTATTGCTGCTGTCCAATATAGGTGTCTGCTTGCTTTATCTGGACAGCTGAGATGACCTCATACTTTGGATGACCCTGGTGGGAGTGTATACCTTTGGCATCTGCTACTGGTGTTCTTCACTCACCCCTTCCAGGAACACCCCCCTGCCATGATAAGGCAGCACAGCAGGACAGCCTGCACAACCTTGTCTTAAATAGAAACTCAAAGAAGAGGAAGATCTGGTTTGTCATTATAATTGATCTCTAGTGTCAAGTGAGGGAGAGATAAATATGCTACTGATATGTCATATGTGCCCTGATAATATATGGAATGGCTACTATAGAGGACTATAGGAAGCTGCCTTTGAAGTTTATATAAGATATCTTTCAGCATTATAAAAATATGCCCATTTACTGGGTACAATTCACAGTACTAATTTTAATCATTAAACCATTTCTTGATCTGGGCCCTGTGTATCTGAAATATTTTCTTCTTCCGTATGAATGTTTTTAATTGTAAAAACTGTTTGTGGAGCATATTTTTTAGCTACCACATCCTCTGAAAATTAGGCAAGTGATGATCAAATATGTGTTCTTCTCCTTAGTGTTGTTCCCTAGAGAGTTTTGCCTGGTACTACCTAGATGAATTTTAGATATTGGATTAAAATTATTTTATTAGCCTCAGCTTTTTATATAATTTACTGATTTATCTGCCAAGGTTATATTATCACTTCTAATAATATGGATTTTATTTGTTTTATTGTTTGATAACTCTGCATTATGGGTGACTGTTTTAATGATTCTATTATTCAATTTTGAAACTGCATTAAGACATAAAAATTAAAAAGCAATATAGAAGTATGTGTAATAAATAATATTTCTATCTGGAAGTAAAATAAATTAACTCCAAGGTAAATGTTATTTAACTAGAATTCTATAAGCATTGGGAATCATGCATATATCTCAAAATAATCAGATTCCTTAGCCATGAGAACAGCATTTATGCTTTTCTTTACCTTTTCAAGCCCTGTGTTGGTTTCACATGCATGATACTGCTTAACAGCAGCAGCTGAAATATTAGCAAGTAGGTAATAAGAGTTTAATTTCTTTTGGGTGAACCCAGATACTGTTCACTTTGCACAGCATGCAGGGATATGTATAACTTTCTTATATATTCTATCCTCTAGTAGGTAAATATTTGTTTCACCACAGCTCAAAATTATTCTGAGATATATGCATGATTCCCAATGCTTATAGAATTCCAGTTAAATAACATTTACTTCCAGATAGAAATATTTGCTTGAATATCCATCTAGTGTAATTCGTGACGCCACTTATCAATGCAGACTCAAGACATCCCTCTTGCCCGATCTGGCAATTCAGAAAATCACATTGCATCATTCAGATGTAAGTTCCTGCAGGTAATTCCTGAATTCTCCTATTGGAAGCAGCCTGCTTCATTGTACTGCCTGCCACACAATTTACATATAGCATGTTTGATAGCCTTATTCAATCACATTAACTGTTTTTATTACTTTATTTAAAAAAAAAAACTTATCCTAATTTTCTTTACTGATCTTTTTTTAAGGTGTGGAAAGATGCTGCTACTCAGATATTTTTCTCTTTATCTGCTGCATGGGGTGGTCTGATTACTCTGTCTTCCTATAACAAATTCCATAACAACCTATACAGGTAAGTCGCATACGTTCAGCAAAACCAACGCTTTCCTAGTTTAGATTATTAGATGGAAAATTAGATGGCAAAGATGAATCCAGGGATCTCTGGAACTAAGTCTGATGCCATCACTATTATCTGCATGTATAGGATCAATCTGTCCTCAGGATTTCAAAGTAAGGGTAGCAGACCTGAGCTGCAACATCCAGAGGACAGGATGGCAGCCAAGAGTTAGAAAAAACAAATTCTTTGTTGCCATCTAGTGGTTGTATCATTCTTTGCACCCCATATCTGATAGCCCTACTTCAAAGACCATTAGACTTCTGGAGTTAGCGTGTCCTACTTCCTTCTGAAAGGGTACCCTAATTAGAAACAGGCTGGGTTGAAAGCAATCTAGGGGATTGTCAGGAATCAAGCGTAGCAGTGTGAAATATAGCACAAGGGTAATCTCTTTTAAAGAAAGCTTTGTAATTGAGAAATAGGTCAGGAACATTCTGAAGCGGCAGAGATAATTTGCATTTTTCACCGCTATATTTACTGTACCATTACCTTTACGGTATCAGTAGCATAGTAACAATTCTGGTAGTTGCATTAATTCCAAATTCAGATAAATAAAAAGCTTCTAGTGTCATAAGAATGGAATGTTTGATATAATTTAATTGGTAAGCTCATATATAACTGAAAACAATGCTTTAACTGCTGAGAAACTGATCTTCCTTCCTTCTCTCTACTCTCTAGGTAGGTATGTATAATTATATATCACTACCCCAGCTCTGTAGGGGAGATGCTGTTGATATGTTGTCCTGGGGCCTAGAAGCTATGCAGGTCTGGATGGAAGAGAACAGGCTCAAACTGAACCCAAGCAAGACAGAATTGCTGTTCATACATCTCCTTTAGTACTAGTTAGGTCCTCGGAGAGACAGACACTATCTGTTCCAGGAGTAGGTTCATGATTTGGGAATCCTTTGGACTCACGGCTCTTGTTTAAATAGCAGATAGAGCCCATGGTAGAGCTTCAGCTGATACACCATTACGTGTCCTTGACTGGTGCAGCGGGAGTTAGTGACAGTAACCCAGGTTCTCATCACCACCCGCATGGTTTACTGCAATGTGCTATACATGAGGCTGCCCTGAAATATACAAATATTTCAGGTCCTGCACTGGTTACCAGTTCAGTTCTGAGTGCAATTTAAAGTGCTGGTGTTAAAACTGTAAAGCCCTTTGTGACTTGGCACATGGGTATATGAGGGTCTACCTCCTCTAACTGGATTTGGCCCAACCTGTTAGATCTTGTAGGACGGGGCTCTATGTTGTCCCACATTTCTGAAACGTCAGGGGAGCCGAAGTTAGAAAGCACTGCTTCTCCATAGCAATGCTGACACTATGGAATGCATTGTCCACTGAAATCAGAACGGCCTCCTTAGTGGTAGCTTTTAGGAACTTATTAAAAGCAGAGTTCTTTTGAAGAGCCTGTGAGTAACATCACCTGTGCATTTTGCATGAGATTGCAGCAGGCCAAAAATCAAATCAAATCAAATCAAATCAAATCAAATCAAATCAAATCAAATCAAATCAAATCAAATCAAATCAAGTAAATAACCCTTTCTCCAAACATTTGTAGCTTTGGTATGTCAGCCCTAGCCTACACCAACATGGAACTGTGGTAGGCATTAACTCCACTGAAGCCAACATATGTTTTAAAATAATCACTGGGGAAAGAAGTATTGTGTGATCAGCCCCTGCCTTGGACCGGTGTGACCTGAACTTCTGAGTTTTCAAAGTACTAGCTAGCTAACTCTTCTCAATCCCCTTACAAACTCAGCCTCACACTTTCTGTGATCAGTCTTAAAGCTCTCTGCAAGTTAAGTGTTTTTGTTGGACATCTATCTTTTATAAGTATTAGTAATACATAGGTAATTAACTACATAGGTAATTATTATGTAGATTGAATGTTCTGTTCAGTGATTTACTATGTGTGTGCATCTTACTTTTTTTCTGTAGAGAAAAAGTTTGTTCTTGAAGCAGTTTAGTAATGGGATGCTGATTAGACATTTGAATCCAGAGTTTCAGCATTCAGAAGTAACATCTAAAGCACTATTTCCAATCTGGTGCCCTCTAGTTGTGTTTAAATTGAACAACTTTATGAAGAAGATACAAGACTGGGAAAAACTGAACTCACTATAAGAACACACTATTTAACCTCAAATGTTTTCTTGGTCATGTAACATAATGTGGTTTTTCTTCCAAAAACTTCACTTGGAAGTTTCATCTTAAAGGCCTATAAGTGGGCAGTTCCATTATTTGATAGGGTCCACCTAAACTGTATGTTGTATTAGGCATAGTGAAGTTTTGCACTAGGCATTGTGAAGACAGAGTTATTGTTTTCCCTGTTTTAAAATCTCAGATTTTTGTGTCTTTGTGCTATTGCTGCTAACCGTGAAAAACTTTGGATTGAATCCAGACTTAATCATATGTAAAGAATACCCAATGAAATCAGTGATTAGTGATCACTGTCTTAGAATTATTGTCTCTAGAAGTATCAGATCCATGTTGTAAGATGTCTGTATTAGTAGGTGAATTAAATTATTTTTATTAGCTTAGCTTTTTGGGGGGGGGTTGTTCTTATTTGGAATAAGCACACCTTTAGGCTGTGTGCCAGCTGCACCCATTCCTGAACCAGGACACCTTCTTACTGTCACTCATGCCCCTGGGACTTCTTGTCTGCAATGCACTCTACGTGGGGCTGCCCTTGAAGAGCAGTTGGAAGCTTCAACTGGTGCAGAATATGGTAGCACAGGTAGTAAATGCTGCCAGTTACTTGGGGCATGTAACACCACTACTTCGTGAGCTCCATTGACTGCTGGTGTGATTCCGATTTCAATTCAAGGTGCTGGTTGTCACTTTTAAAGCCCTTCATGGCTTGGGACTGGATTATTTAAAGGAGCATCTCTCCTCAATTGTTTGTACTTATCCAGTCCAATCCAGTCAGGCAGGATGGGCATGGTTCGGATCCTGTTGGCTAAGGAATGCCAGTTAGCAGGGCACAGGAGTGTCTTTTCTGATGTAGTACCCGCCCTATGAAACATTCTCCCTCTGGAGATCAGGATAGCCCTGACCCTGATTGTTATTGTTTTTATTTTATTTTAATATTGTTTGCTGCCCAGACTCAGTTGTTGAGATGGGTAGCTATATACAGATGGAATGAATAAATAATAAATAAATAAATACATTTTGATATCATACCTACTAAATATTGGTATTTCACCACCACGACATTATAATTATATACTCAGTATACATTACCTACTATACTGTTACTATTCAGTAAAACAAATCTGGTAAATATATTTTCTTTTGTCCTCCTTTCTTCAGGGACACCTTGATAGTAACTTGTACCAACAGTGCCACAAGTATATTTGCAGGCTTTGTCATCTTTTCAGTGATTGGATTCATGGCAAATGAGCTCAAAGTGAATATTGAAGATGTTGCAGACCAAGGTAGGACCTTTTGTTTTTCATGTAAACATGGGCTTTGAATGATGCACTATTCGGCAATACTGATTTTGCTCTTTCTTTTGTGCAAGATGTCCTGCATATACCTATTAATTAGAACACATGAGGCATCTGGGCAAAATGGTACAACTTGGTGGACCTGATAAATATACAGTACTATAAAAATGGTTGCTGCCTAAGTCAAAGGATAACATGGCACACCTCCCTTTCCTTTGTACAGAAGCCACTCAGACTGTCACTGGTGAGATCGTTCCCTTCACCTCCTCTGCAGGCAACAGAAAAATCAGTGATGAAGAGTAACAGGTCCCCCATTTTTTCCCACTTGGAAATTTTACATTTATAGGTCAGTGGGAAAAAAAAATCCTGAAAGAAGAAGCAAACTACTTTTGTATGGTTGCTAAGGAAACTACATAGGTGTGTCCATGAAGTCACCATGCTTCAAGCTCAATTCAAAGTCCCACTTCCCCATTTATAACTTGCAGGGGTTGTCTTACTGCACCTATTGACAGGGCTCACCATATAAGATCATAATCCTTTCTTAAGGCATACAATTCCTTGGACTGTTTAGTGCAATGAGACAAAATATGATTACCTTATTTATACAAGCTGTTAGGGTTGGGCTGAAGATTATCAGTGGTAATTGATTCTTCTATTCTTGCTCTCAAACCCAAGAGGTTGAAATGTAATTCGAATTTTAAAGTTTGCAAATGATCTTGATAATGTACATACATTTAATAATGTTTTTCTCAGTTAAGCTATAAATTGTTGACTAATGGGATAATTGTCTTATGGGCTTGCTTGTTCCTTTTGGACTCCTATGATATCTTCCTGCACTTAATAATAGTTCATCTAGTAGGTGCAAACATTGGGGACTTTTCATATTGAAGATCTAGTTTAAAAATTGCTTATCCAGTCCAAGCTGGAATGCTTGTAAACACATGCTCCTTCTGTGCCTCTGTTAAATATCTCAGCAGCAGCAGCAGAAGAGTGTATAAAGAGATTCCATGCTGCAGCCATTTGCTCTGAAATCTGCAATGATCCATAATTCAGCAAATTAACCATGAAGTCCAGGGGAAAATGTGTATATACCTGCATGACATTACACATTACATGCAAAAATTGTGCATTTTGTGAGAGTAACATGTTAGATTTGCAACTCATTTCTTTTTTTTTTTTTAATATTTTTTTATTTTTACAACAAACACAAAACATACATGGACA